ATTAAATCATAGCAATTTGGATAGGGCTCAAGAGTTAAGTCGGTAAAACCAGAATTGAAATTTTATAAATATAGATGAATAAATATAGATGAAGAATAAACGAAGAGACGAAGAAGAATTAAATTAAGAAACAAGGAAGAACTGCTCACCATTTGACTATGGCAGTAATATGTCTGCGAACGAACTCTACGTACAAAGATTCTCAATCTAATAGGGTTTTCTTTTTTAGGTTTATTTGGGTTTTAAATTTGAGGGTATTTGTGTCTATTTAGGTGAGTTTTCTACTATATTTGAAATTTTTTATAAAAACTGACATTTTTGAAATTAGGGGTCAAGTTTTGGCTATTTTTGATAAATTCTCAAGAATTTGTCAATTAACACAAATTAAGCTAAACAGAAAATGTAGTTCGTACCAATCTAGTGCAATGAGTCTTCATCTTCTTCCACGATTGATGGTGGTGGCTGCGTTGAGCTCTCAGAATCTTCACATTTCTTTGACAGAGGCTTTCCACACAAACCAGAGTTTCCTTTGTACGGGTCCTTCTCCTGGAAGGTATCGAATTGTTTGCCAAGTGTTATAGGCCCGGAGAGATGGTTATTGGATACATTAAAATATGCAAGAAAAGTGAGTTGTGCTGAATTATTGGGGATCCTTCCTGAGAGCTGGTTCTGGGAGAGATCTAACGATTCAAGAACAGTCAAGTCCCCTAAAGACGAGGGGATGCGACCAGTGAGAGAATTGTTGGAAAGGTTCAGCAAAACAAGGCCTCTTAGGTTCCCAAAGGGACCTCCTGGAATTGTTATGATATCAAATCTCAATCATAGGAGTAGATTGCTGCAAACATTTAACTGATTCTGTTTCCTTCTCTAGTCCAGCAATCCCTGTAGTTTAGGCTGTAGTTACTACTTCTTTCCATATATGTTTCTGTACAATTTGCTATATATCTTTATAATTGTTAGGACTGTATACACAAGCAATATACATCAGATTATCACTTTTCACATACTAAAGGGTCATTTTACTATTTGTAATATTGTATCTGATGTTGTTGCAATATTCTTGGAGTACCATGTTCATCAATGTTTGACAAATGAATTTATATGTGCTATCTGTTGACGCTCAAAATGGTTGGGCCAAGATTGAGTCCAACTTATTGATGAGGTGTGATGGATAATGAATGAAGGTGAGGACCTTAAGCATGTGTTTAAAGACTTGGGCAAGCGATAAATGTAAAGAAGACAAGATATACGTAGTTCACCCTTAATGAATGGGTTACGTCCACGGAGAAGTATTCTCTCATTATAATGGTGTATGATTACATTTGTACATGAGGTTGGACCCGAATATAAAAATAACAAGTGAGATGCCCAGGGCAGGGATCTAGGAGAGAGTCCCCGGCCCTAGGGTCTAGCTCTGAGACCTGGATCCTCTTCTAAGTGGAGAGAGGAAGTCCCCTTTTCACATGGATACTACTCCCTATTTATAGGGAGGTGAAAGTGGGAGGTTTGTGTAGATTTTCAATGTGGGACTTGTTCAAGTCGCTGTGGTAGTGACACGTGTCTTGTAGAGTAGGTTTGGCAATTTAGGAGCTTGGGCAGTCAGGAGCTTGTCTTGCTTCGGCATGGAAGAAGACGTGTGTGCCTTTGGTGCTAGTCGCTTTGAGGTTGGATATGCTCGGTTGATTATGGTGTAAACAGTAGTCCCCCAAGTTCGAGGTCAAGAAGTAACTTCTGGGTTGGAACTTGTTAGGTTTTTGTATAATTGTGACCGAGCAATCCAGGTTCAGTGGGAGCTGTAGGGCAGTCTCTAGTCCCCCAAGTTGGCAAGCTGGAAGTTGCATCAGTATTTGGAAGGCATAATAAAAGCATTGTGAGCTTCTAGAACTGTTGGTAGCTGGGTAATTGGGCATTTTGCAAGGAAATCGGGGCTGGACCCTGTGGAGTTGAGCATTGGTAGAGGCCGAAGCCTTGAGGTTTTTAGCAAGAGAGCTTTGGAGAGCCTTCCTTTGGTGTCGATGCTCCTTGTCGTTTGGCAAGGAGGCCAAGACCCCCTCTTTTTTTTTTTGTGGCTAACATTTGTGTAAGCCCCCAGAATAACATGCATGACCCTTGCCGTTCGGCAAGGGCTTGAGTGCCTCGGGTTGGTGTGTAACTTTCGGCAAGGAAGCTTGTCCTTCCAAGTCTTGGCAAGTGCTGGACCTTTGAATTGGGCTTTGGCATGGCAAGAAAGCTGGGCCTTCTGTGTGGGCTTCGATAAATGGAGCTGGGCCCTAGTTAGCCCACAAGCATGTCTTGAGCTTAGGGCTGGGCCTTTAAATTATGTAGTCTTGGAGCTGGGCCACGGGTTTGGGCTGAGCCATAGATGGGCTTTGGAAATAGCATGGTGGTTGTGAGCTGGGCCCTTTGTAGGAGCTGGGCTTTAGCAAGGAAGCTGGGGCAGCCTGCTGGGGTTGGGCCATGGGTATTTGCTGGAGCTAGGCTTAATGATTTGTGAAAGGGGTGCAAATAAGTTGCTATGGCTCTTGCCGTTCGGCAAGAGATAGCTGGGACTTATTTGTAGCTGGGCCCTTGTGTTTTTATAGCAAGGGTCTTTGTTCTTTCGGTGGGGGAGTCCAAAGATTGGAGAAGAGGTGCAAGTCCCTAATCTTTTGGAAGAAAATATCGGTGCAGCCAGTCCTTGGTTTTAGCACGACCTAGCCTCGGCAAGGCTGGTTTTGAACAGGCAGGTAGTGTCTTTTTCGCTCCACTCAACCCTTGCCGTTCGGCAAGGGTGATTCATGCCAAGCTGCAAATCCAGTTTTAATTCGGAATGGATCATTTGTTTCGTGACCTGGGCCGTGAGAGCTGCTCTTGGTTCCCACCGTTCAGCGGTTGTGGGTTGGCGTGATTTCGAGTCTGTGATAGGTCTTGGCTTGGCTTCAACGCTACACGGCTTTGGCAAGCAAGGGTCTAAATATTTACGTTTCTGTGAGTGAGTTTCGTAGTCCCCGATTTCCAGCTAGGCCCTTGCCGTTCGGCAAGGGTGAATTGAAAATTATTTTCGGCTGTTGTGTCGGTGCTAGCTTCGGTGAGGGTCTGGGCTGAAACCATGGTGAGTTTGAAGCATTCGGAAGGAGAAGTTTGAGCTGGTCCTTGTGGAATCCTTCGACAAAACCATATTGAGGTCTTGGAGCTGGGTCCTGGAGGTGCAGACAAGAGTCGGGGTGTCTTGATCATATTCTGACGTGAGTGTGGGGCTGGAATTTAGAGCTGGGCTTCGTGATCATCCTCACAGTGTGAGCATCGCTTCAGCAAGAAGGCCTGGAGCCATGAGTTTTCTTGGAGTCGGGGTAGTTAGACCGTCGCTCCTGGGTTGTGGATTTTTGAGCTAGGCTTTATAGTCGGGCGGCGAATCTAGTGTCCACGTCCAGCAAGCTTTAGGCTAGGCTTTTGGCAACAAAGTATTGTTTTGAGGCTCCCAAATACATTTGCACGCTCCTTGCCGTTCGGCAAGGGTGCTTTGGATTTTCTACAGTCTTGGTGAAAATTGTCTCGGGTCTGAGAGCTAGGCCCTCAACAGGGCTGGGTTTTGGGAGCTGGGCCATATGTGGAGTCGGGCCATTGTGAAGTTTTAGCAAGGTTCCGCAGCTGGGTTCGGCAAGAGGGCTAGGAAGCAAGGGTAAGCCGGGTCTTGTTTTCAGCTAGACCTTCGGTGGGTATCATTTGGAGCTGGGAATTGGGTTAGAGCCAAGCCTTCGGTAGGTTGACGTAGGTATTTGAGAGTTGGAACTGGGCTCGTGGCTGGGGTGTGAGCTAGGCTTTTACTATAAACAGAGCGTTGATCTTCGGCAGGGTCTGAAAAGGAGAATGGATGCTGTGCTTCGAAATTGAAGCTGGGCTCGGAGCTGGGAGCTAACCCGTATCCATGCTGTTCTAGTTTCGGCAAGGAAGCTGACCCCACGGATGTTTGCAGATGTTTGAAGCCAGGCTGAGTGGGTCATAGCTTGATCTCTCGTTCTGACTTTGGGCAAGTGTCACTTTGGAGCTGGGGGTGTGGCTTTGAAGCTGGGCCGTGTGAAATTTCGTGGAGCTGGGCTCAAGAGGCTGGGTGCCTTGAGCAAAATTTTTTGTTTGCGTAGTCCTTTGGTTGAGCTGGGCTTTTTGAGCTAAGCCACGGGGTAAGCTTAGCTGTGGCTTTTGGTGTTGGTCCAATCAGTACTTTGTCAAGGCAAAGTGTTGTGGCGTTGATTGGAGCTGGGTCAGCATAGCTTGGGCAAGGAGTAGAATTTGGTGAGTGTTGCAAGCCATGCAAAGTATAGCCACGCAAGCCATGCAAAGTATAGCCAATTTTGTTGTTGTTGCTGTTGTTGTTGTTGTTCGTTGTTGTTGTTGTTGGTACCCTAAGTACCTTGCGAATACTTAGGCCTTCAGCAAGCCTTTTGGTGGCCGGGCCTTCAAAGCTTCGGCAAGAAAGTCGTGAGTTTTTCGACTTAGCCTTGCATTGTTGAAATGGGCTGGATCATTCGGAGCGTGGCATAGTTTCAGGGTCGGGCTAATTTTGAAGGAGGTGAGCCATCAGATTTTGCCATTCGAAATGCTCACATTTTGAATGCAATTTGGGGCTGGGCTCCTGGAGCTGGGGCCATAAATGTAAGAGTGGTCATTCGGTATTCAAGTACTGGCAATCTTGGATTTCCGAGAGTATAGTATTATGTGTCCTGGGTCTTAGGCTTTTGTCAAGCCTTGGAGCCGGGCCTGGGGCGCAAACTCTTATAAGGGGCTGGGCTATGTTGGCTAGGCACAAGCAGAATCCCTTGAGGTGGACCTTCCCATTGTGGCTAAATATTTTCAAAAAGTAGCTGGGTCATTGAGATTCCGCTTCAATTTTGGTGAGTCATGTGAGGTCCATTTCACTTCTCCACAGGACCTGCCATTTGGTGATTTTCTTCGAGCCTCCAAGGCTTGTTGAGGTTCGAGAGGCTTGGAGCCGAGCCTGTTTTGGAGTTGGGCTTCACGTGTTAGTGACTTGGTGTTGTAGCTCGAGTGGTCTTGGAGTTGGATCTTGGGTTATGAGGACTTGGAGTTCATCCTTGTGTGCCCCTTGGTGCTTTAGCTCAGGTGAGTTTGGAGCTGGGCCTCCGTGGAGGTAAATAGGTTTGAAGACACCCCCCCTTTGAGCTTGTTTTGACATTTAGCAGGGTCCGGAGGGAAAAGAGGCTAGCTCCAGTGTCCGTGCCATTAGAGGTCTTGATTTCTCTCCGTGGCATGGGGTGCTTTCGAAAAGTGAATTTCATGAACCTTCATTCGGATTGAAATAATGGCTTGTTCCTAGCTATGCAAGCCATGCAAAGTGGTACTCTAGTTGAATTGGGTACCTGGGCAGCTATTATTCATATGCAATATTTATATGTAAGAAGAGAGATCTTATCTTGTGGTGAGGATGTACGTGGGCGTCGCTCATATCAGAGAGGTTTTGCCGAAGGCATCGCATGCGCCTCATGATGACGAGGTGTCGAAGGCATTGCTTGCTTCGAATGATGATGAGGTGTCGAAAGGCATCACTCAAGCTGAATGACGACAGGGTGCCGAAGGCAACACAAAGATGGCATGTTGTAAGGCATTGTGACTAGGCACAAGGGTGCTGGAGGCAACACAAAGTTCACATGTCACAAGACAATGTGGCTAGGCACGAGGGTGTCTAAGGGGACACAAAGCTTGCGTGTCGCAAGGCGATGTGACTAGGCGCGAGGGGGCCGGAGGCAACACCAAGCTCGCATGTCGTAAGGCAATGTGACTAAGCACGAGGGTGCCGGAGGCAACACCAAGCTCACATGTCGCAAGGCAATGTGACTAAGCACGAGGGTGCCGGAGGCAACACCAAGCTCGCATGTCGTAAGGCAATGTGACTAGGCACGATGGTGCCGGAGACAACACAAGATGTGGATAGGCACGTGGGTGCTGAAGGCAACACAAAATTTGCGTTAAATGATGATGTGGTGCCGAAGGGCACTGAAGAAGGGGAGAACGACAGAAACCTTTTGTGTCGATTCCCACAGACGGCGCCAAACTGTTGATGCTCAAAATGGTTGGGCCAAGATTAAGTCCAACTTAGTGATGAGGTGTGATGGATGATGAATGAAGGTGAGGACCTTAAGCATGTGTGTAAAGACTTGGGCAAGCGATAAATGTAAAGAAGACAAGATATACGTGGTTCACCCTTAATGAATGGGCTACGTCCACAAAGAAGTATTCTCTCATTATAATGGTGTATGATTACATTTGTACATGAGGTTGGACCCGAATATAAAGATAACAAGTGAGATGCCCAGGCTAGGAAAGTAGTTACCCTTTTTACTAGGGTACTATTCCCTATTTATAGGGAAGTGAAAGTGGGAGGTTTGTGTAGATTTTCGATGTGGGACTTTGTTCAAGTCGCTGTGGTAGTGACACGTGTCTTGTAGAGTAGGTTTGGCAATTTGGGAGCTTCGGCAGTCGGGAGCTTGTCTTCCTTCGGAATGGAAGAAGGCGTGTGTGCCTTTGGTTCTAGTCGCTTTGAGGCTGGATATGCTCGGTTGATTATGGTGTAAACACTATCTATCCTTTCATTTACAGCTCCAAAAGCAAAGTTCTTGTCTGGCCGTTCTTGATAGTTTCATACTTGGCCGGGGCATACACTCTTCTGCCCTATTTTGTACTTCGGAGACCGCCACCACCTCTTATTGATGAAAGTGAGCTCAGAAGATGGCCTCTCAACTTTCTGGAATCTAAATTAACTGCTGCGGCAGGAATTTTTCAACTTGCTTAAGCCAACTATTCTTGAATAGCATTACACTATCTTCAGTTTCTCTTATATCTTAAATCTTTCTTTAGATTATGCATCAGATCTGTACTAAAATTTTCGCATGGATAAATTCATGATTGGAAATAACATCGGTAATGACAGACTTCGATGAAATTTTATTTTGAACTTGGCCAGTCAAGCATACAAGATTGAATACCATGTTTTTACTGTAGTTGTAAGTGATTTATTTTATAGTAAATTGAGCTTAGACCAATAAAATTCATTTTAAATCACCTACAACCCTTTCCTTTAGTTTTCTATTTAAAATGCCCAATTTTTTCAAATAATACCCGATGACTAGGATCCAACTAAGCAAGTTACCTAATATAACTTAAAATCTGATTTATTGTATTTTTCGGATTCCAAAACTACCCATGTTTATAAGTTAATGTGTTATGGGGGGTGTAACAAATGACACCTAGAGAGAAACATTCAATTGATCTTGAGAGCAGCATCATTGATGTTTTTCCTTTATTTCTCCCTTCTTTTATGTTGTATTTAGTCATAGATAAATGATGATAACTGCAGTGGCAGCCGGAATTTATTAGCATAATCGACCTAAAGCAGGTTGATTATAGTTGTTTTACTAATGATATGCAGTAACATTGATTTTTCAATTTGTTTTGGAAAATGCAAGTAACTCCATTACGCATCAGATAATACTTGCTGCAGGACTGGGTATAGTGATCTATGCAGGTCTAGCTAATGGGGCTGACTGGAAGGAATATTACCATTACTTCAATGAAAGTAAATTTGTAAGTCACTCAACCATCAACACATATATTTCAGAGGTACTTCTTTAGTTTCTCATATCTGAAAAAGATTGGCTATTATTCTCTCACACAGGAAAACTATATGGTTAAAAAGTAGATCATAACCTACCATGCAATACGTTGACGTTCTGAAAATACTTGAAACTTAAACATTTTCTGGTTCGGCCTTAGTCATGGTATGCTCGCATGTACACATAACTAAGTTATTAGCTCAAGTAAAGGCTTGTTTCTTTTTTCTCATATATAGTGTAATGCAAACGTGAACATCTCACTGAATTGCGCCACATTTTGGAACTCCCATGACGCAGATTCACGTGATGAGCCTTGATTTCATTCTACTGTCTGCATTTGCTCCATTTTGGGTGTACAAAGATATGACTTCCCCGAAATGGTGATTGTTTTGTTGATGTTTATATTTCTCCTAAGTTCAAGTTCTAAATTCCTCCAGCAATAGTTATTGTGGCATAATATTCAAACACTTACCTTTTTGCAGGTTTGACAAAGGCTCTTGGCTTCTATTTTTATCATTGGTGCCACTACTAGGCCCTGCTTTGTATCTCGTCTTACGGCCACCACTATCAACAGAGCCTAATTCAAAATAGTATTTTAGAATCCAGAGAAGTTGTAAAATGGGTATGCAGATAATTGATTGCAAACTGATCTGGCTCTGAAAAGAGCAATGTTGACAAGCTTTCCAAGAGTGGTAATAGGAGGTTGTTCCAGCACGTATGTGTGTGTATACACATAAGCCTCAGTTGCAATATAAGTTTAATACCTCTTCAGGAAATAAAGCAGGATACTTGGAGAATTCCTAAACCTGAAATCATTGTATCTGCACCAGAGATAGGAAGAAATAGCCAATCCATTAGTTATAAGATCATCAAGTCACAAGAACATTATTATCAAGTTGAGAATAATATATCTCAAAAAACTCAAATGAAGGAACAATCAGAGCTTTGAAAAATACTATACTCAAAAGTTCATTGATGCCATAAGTCCACTCCCAACATTCAAAAACACACAAGCACAAACATCATAGGGAGAGAAAATGTTGTGTTGTAGTGCCCAATTCCAATACAGGTGCACATAATTACTGGTTGCCAAATCACTTTTCTAATTAAGAGAAAAAGAAAGTGAGTAACACTCCAACAAATTTTCTGAAGAAAATCTTACTGATTCTGCAGTGATCAAAAGTAAAAATATAAATAAATAAAAATAGGAGGCACAGCAAAAGTCCTCTCTCCCCCTCTTCAACTTTGTATATGGCTATTTCTGGTGTGGAAGGCCTGACACAGTCAGCCATTTCTGCAAAGCAGAAGCGTTTTACAAGGAATCAATGTCACAGGTCCATGGATCTTCTGGGTCCCTCTGTTTCTGGTGCTGTCACATGTGGAGACTGAGCACTGAATTTGGGTTTCTACGGAAATTTTGAAATGTGAGAGTTTGTGTTGTGAATGGAAACTGGGAATGAGAGTGGTTTGCAGAACTCTTGAAGCTTCAGCCATGGCTATCCAAAGCCAGAGTAAAAAGAAGTGCCTTATCTGAGGTTATTTGGTTTGTGGTCGTTTTTGCAGTTATTAAAGGCGCGCTATGACGTTTCTTGTCATGGTCTGAAACTTTAAGACGACACCGTTTTGGTAGACTCAGCTCACTATTAAAAATCTACAGCTTGAATTGGAATATCAAAATCCTATAATCTTTCAATCTTCCAACATGTTGGCTAATGCCAACCTCATCTGCTGCAACTTCTCCACCTTCCCATCTCTTCCTCTCAAAAACCCAACTTTCAGAACTTCATTACAAACCCAAAACCTCAAGCCCAGAATTTCACATTCCAAAATAACCTCAAAAGTTTCAATCTTTTCTGGAACCCACAATGGTAAAACTTCAATCTTTACATTTCAAAAGGGTCCTCTTCAAATTTGTCAGAGTACCTTAAATAGTGAGAAACCAGAAGACCCAGTTCTGAACGAGAGTGCTTCCTTGGAAAGTGAACTTGGTAAGAGTGAAAATGAACTTGGTAGTGCCCAATTCCAATACAGGTGCACATAATTACTGGTTGCCAAATCATTTTTCTAATTAAGAGAAAAAGAAAGTGAGTAACTCTCCAACAAATTTTCTGAAGAAAATCTTACTGATTCTGCAGTGATCAAAAGTAAAAATATAAATAAATAAAAATAGGAGGCACAGCAAAAGTCCTCTCTCCCCCTCTTCAACTTTGTATATGGCTATTTTCTGGAGTGGACGACCTGACACAATCAGCCATTTCTGCAATGGAGAAGCGTTTTTACAAGGAATCAATGTCACAGGCCCATGGATCTTCCGGGTCACTCTGTTTTTGGTGCTGTCACATGTGGAGACTGAGCACTGAATTTGGGTTTCTACGGAAATTTTGAAATGTGAGAGTTTGTGTTGTGAATTCAAGCAAAATCAATGGCGTAACCGTAAATTCAAGCAAAATTAATGGCATAATCCTAAATTCAAGCAAAAAGATGGCATAGTCGTAAATTCAGGGGAAGGAATGGCATAACTGTAAATTCAAGAAAAATCAATGGCATAATCGTTAATTCATGGAAAGTGAATGGCATAACCGTAAATTAAAGAAAAATAAATGGTATAATCGTAATTCAAGCAAAACAGATGGCATAATCGTAAATTCAAGCAAAGTTGATGGCGTAACTGTAAATTCAGGCAAAATCAATGGTGTAATCGTAAATTCAGGCAAAACTGATGGCATAATCGTAAATTCAAGAAAAGTCGATATTAAATTCAGGCAAAAATCAATGGCGTAACCGTAAATTCAAGCAAAACTGATGGGGATAATCGCAAAGGTCTAATGAGAACTAATCTGCTTTGTTTCAGAAACAACCTTCGGTTTAATTGCTTCGGAGATGTCACATCCAAATCCATTGATCCACTTGCCTGTCAGCATAAATCAATTGTGACTTAAATGTTCAAGGTTCTTAGCTCCATCCTATCTAGAGTGCACAGAGTTGTGTTGTTATTGAAAGATGTAGAATTTTCTTATAAATTATTGGCTCACCTGTAAGAATTTGTTATACTTTGATAGGCTAACTTCACAACTGTCCCATCTGTTGAAAAGACAACTCCCTGTGATGATTTATCGTAATCCAAAAATGCGTCTACCTACAGAAGTCAAATTAAGATGCACATAGTGAGTAAGACTTGTGAAGGTAATACTTCGGATCATGTTTACTGAAAGAGACTCTGACAAACCTCACAACTATGGTTCAGCATATCTGCCCAAGGAACCAAGGCAACCTTTCCACCCAACGAGGGTAACCGAACCTGTGCTTATGAGAAAAAAAAGACGTTGAGGTCATATGTTGTACAAACCAATATTGCCTTTTAGAGGAAATATCCAATATCAAATTTCAAGCAACGTGTTATTTCAGTACCAGCTGATACAGCACAAAAAAATAAAACGTGAGACGGTACCAAGGAAAAAAGAAGATATAGACTTTCTGAGAGACGGTGCTTGGACAACACAGGCAGATCAAGTCAATAATATTTTCTAAACAAACATTTGAAGTATGCCTACTTCGTATCAGAATTTTAGGCCCATCATCTTTTTAGTTAAGGAAAGTGCTCAGTTAATGTTCAAGATCCACATCATGTGCATTAGGAGAGTTACATTGGAGAAGCAGTAACCAGAGGGTTTTTGGATAATTTCTTCCTTTCCCACATGATATTGATGATGGCATCATATCACATTATAAATTTGTGTACTTTAACAACCATTCTCTTCACAAAGTCAAACAACTGGTACAATTTGACACCATTCTGTAGATTCAGAAACAAATTTAGCATGGCATTGTCATTATAAACTAAGTACTTCACTTACCAAGCGTGAGAAAAGAATTCCAAATGACCATTTGAAGGTTTCTATGTTGAATACCTGTTTATAATACAAGGAGGGAAGTCACACATGGGGCAAAATCAGAGATGACATGTGGTTAAAGTCCAACAGTAGCAAAGCATACATGCATTGAAATTTAGAATGTGCACATTACGCTCAAAATGAAGGATAGTTTCACTATATGATATGGAGATAAAGAAGTATGAGTAAATTTACGGAATCCAGATAATTGATCGAAAACTGATCTGGCTCTTGAATTGAGCAATGTTAAAAAGCTCTCCACTAGTTATGACAGAATCAAGGAAGAGTAGTAGTAGGAGGTTGTTCCATCAGCATGTATACGTATATGTGTATATATATGCAACTGGCCTATATAAGTTTAATACCTCTTCAGGAAATAAAGCAGGATACTTGGAGAATATTCTAAGCCTTAAATCATTGTATCTGCGCCAGAGATAGGAATAAATAGTCAGTTCAGCAATTACAAGATCATGAACTCACCACAACATTAAGTTGAGAATAGTATATACCAAAAGTTACAAATGACGGAACAACAAAGCTTTGAAGAAAATTATAATAGAAAACACAGGGCCTTACGTTCCAACAACATTAGTAACTCTTTCAATTGCCCGTTGTCTAATTTGTGATGCTTCCAAATACCGATCAAGTTCTTCGCGAGTCCTGAAATGATATATAAAGGCTGTAGAAAAAGCCTGAGAGTAGACTCTTCCCATAATAAATGATAGACTCATGAAAATTCCACCATTGGAATAAATCATGGAAAAGAGATTCTTAACGCTTACCAATACAGAAGTGAATAAGGCTGTCTTGGTAAGGCAGAAATATAGTTGCTCCATCTAGAAGATTCAAGGGAGCTTGCTTCACTAATCAGATAGGTGGCAAGAAATGGCCAGTCAGGCACACCATTTTGCTTCAACACCTTACCAGCCTCCCCACAAGTCCACTCCTAACATTTAAAACAAGACAAGCACAACAAACATCATAGATAGAGAAAAGCATCAGTGTCCAATACATAATCACTGGCAGCCAAATCATTTTATGAAATTGAAATAAAGAAAAGGGCATTTGAGTAACTTTCAGAAAATTTTCCAGAGAAGATCTTACTGAGTCTGCAGTGATAAACAGAGAGGGAGGCACAAAGAGCAGCTTCTCCCCCTTCCTTATATTCTTCAAAGCAACCAGTCCTCTCTCCCCAACTTCCACTTTTTTCAGGGCCATTTTCTGGGGTGGAAGGCCCGAGTCAGTCAGCCATTTCTGCAGGGCAGAAGCGTTTTCCAAAGAATCACTTTCACAGCCCCATGGGATTTTCTGGGGCACTGTGGCTTTGGTGCTGTTACTTGTGGAGACTGTGCACTGAATTGGGTTTCTGCGGAAATTCAATGGGAGTGACTGAAATATGGGACTTTTGTGTTGTGGATGGAAGCTGGGAATGAGAGTGGTCTGCAGAACTCTTGAAGCTTCAGCCATGGCTATCCAAAGCCAGAGAGTAAAATAAGTGCCTTATCTAAGGTTATAAGTGGTTTGGTTTCGTGGTCGTTTATCCAGTTATAAAACGCGCCGTTTGTGGGCTTTTTTGTCTTCGAGTGCAGTATAGCCGCGCGGCTATACAGTTAAAATATTCTGGCACTATAAATTCAAGCAAAATCGATGGCATAACTGTAAATTCAAGCAAAATGATTGGCGTAATTGTAAATCCAGGTAAAAGTGGTGGCATAATTACGAATTCAAGCAAAATCAATAGCATAAATGTAAATTCAAGAAAATAATGGCATATTCGTAAATTCGTGCAAAATCAATGGCATAACCGTAAATTAAAAAAAACATAATGGCATAACCATAAATTCAAGAAAAATCAATGGGAATCGTAATTCAAGCAAAACTAATGCCATAATCGTTAATTCAAGGAGAGTGAATGGCATAACCGTAAATTAAAGAAAAATCAATGGTATAATCGTAAGAGCATCTCCAACCGATGTGTCAAACGTGCCACATAGACATTTAATAGCTATAAATAACATCTCACATCACTCCAACCGATGTGTCAAATCTGATGTGGAATGAAGGCTAGAGGTTGAGATGTTATTTTTGACATTCCAAAAGCAAGATGTCAAATGAATATTTTATTATTTTTTATTTTCTATTCTTTTTAATAAAAAATGAATCAACACTAAAATATAATAAAATAATAATTTAATTTGGCATATTAGATGGAGTGTAAAGCTGTGTAAGATGTCAAATTGCCACATCAGCCATCAAATTTAAATTTGACGTTTGGTATTTGAGATGCTCTAAGGGGAATGCTAACAATCTTCTTTCTAACCTTCTTTTTTGGACCTTCTCCCTTCTCCTAATGACATGTGTTATTTTCTCCACACTTAAAACAATGACATTAATGCATTAGACAATATATCTTTTGTTTCCAAATTTACCCTTATTAAATGTATTAACTTTATATTTCCTTCAATTTACAACTTAACTTAAAAAATCAAATTTAACAAATAAACACTAAAAGTTCAATCAAATAAATATTTGTAAATAAAAACGAATTATACTTCCCTAAAACAAAAATATTTTTTTTTTCCAAACACGATTGGCTTCGGCAATAAATGACGAGATCGGAAGGAAGGTGGGAGATATTATCCCGGCCGAGTACAACCGCCGCTGAAATGTGTACCGTTCGGTACGAAGATTAATGAACATTCTAATTGAATGAAAAAGTTAAAAGATAAAAAGAAACTATATAAAAATTTAAAAAAATTAAAAAAATACCCAAACCCATTACACCATCTCTCTCTCTCTCTCTCTCTAACCCAAAACCCAGTCCCCTCCCTGGCCGAAACAACGCCCCCATCCTTACCCAATCATCACCATTTCTCTCCAATCCAAAACTCCACTGTGCATTGTGCTTCTCATTCTCTCTCCTCCTTCAATTCCATACCTAAAAACCCATCTCCTCTTCGCTCACCAAAAAAAGAGTAAACATATTCTTTTTTTAAAAAAAACTAAAAAACTAACGTTAATTTTGTGGGAGGCGTTAAAATTTTCTCTTAATTTTTTTAACAAAGTGGAAACAAAAGCTAGTTTATCCAATGCATTCCATGAGGGTAAATTTGGGAAATAAAAGATGCATTGTCAAATGTAATAATGACATTGTTTTAAGTGTAGATAAAATAACACATGTCATGAAGAGAAGGGAGAAGGTAAAAAAGAGAAGGTTAGAGAGAAGGTTGCTAGCATTCCCCTAATTATAATTCAAGCAAAACAGATGGCATAATCGTAAATTCAAGCAAAGTTGATGGCGTAATTGTAAATTCAGGCAAAATCAATTGTGTAATCGTAAATTCAAGCAAAACCGATTGCATAATCGTAAATTCAAGAAAAGTTGATATTATAACTGTAAATTCAGGCAAAAATCAATGGCATAACCATAAATTCAAGCAAAACTTATGGGGATAATCATAAAGGTCTAATGAGAACTAATCTGCTTTGTTTATTAAATTGCCTTTAGAAGGTTTAATTCTTCTGTTGAGACGAAAGAATGTTCCACGCTGAAATGATTACTTATGTCAAATTTAAAGGTTGTTGCTTTGGAATTTAAGGATAATCCCAGATGAGGATGTAGGATTTCTTGGTTGACTTTAAGCCAAATCTCATCTTTGTGACGCTGAAGTCATTAGGCTAACCATTCAAAAATCGTTAAAGTCTTTTCTAAGAACTTAAATTTCAGTTGGTCAAAAGTTGACAGCAATTTTGTCTAGGATTTGCACTAATAACCAAATAGGAAAAATTACAGTGCAATTAAAACAACTACTCAAAGATTAAGCTTATTACTAAAATAGTTTGTTAGTCTCTAAATACATAAAAAAAACAATCACAATTAATCAGCTAGAATCAAGAAATTCTCAAGACATAACTTGCAATCCACTTTATTAAACCAGACACATTTCAAACTCTCAAGACATATTTGAGTACTTGTTGAGAAATACATTACAAATAACTTACACAACCACATATGCAAAATATACTACGTACACAATTGGTACCACGAAACCTCACACCACAACAACATAATATTCTTTCAAGGCTCAAATACTTCCCTTATGGCCTTGGGCTAAGTTCTGCGTCCCCTTGTGCCTCTTGGCTTCCTCCTCTTGCTAAACGTCTCCACAAACCATTCGTGCTTCTTTGTTGTCCATATGTCCCCAACAAGCACTCCAACTATCAGACCACTGACAACTCCTGGCACAACCACGTACCAATCTAGTGCAATTTGAAATACAGAGTCTTCATCTTCTTCCACGATTGATGGTGGTGGCCGCGTTGAGCTCTCAGAATCTTCACATTTCTTTGGCAAAGAGTTTCCACACAAACCTGAGTTTCCTTCGTACGAGTCCTCCTGGAATGTATCGAATTGTTTGCCAAGTGGTATGGGGCCGGAGAGATGGTTATGAGATACATTAAAATATGCAAGGAAAGTGAGTTGTGCTAAATTACTCGGGATCCTTCCTGAGAGCTGGTTCTGGGAGAGATCTAACGATTCGAGAGCGGCCAAGTCCCCAAAAGATGAGGAGATGTTACCAGTGAGAGAGTTGTTGGAAAGGTTCAGCAAAATAAGGCCTCTTAGTTTCCCAACGGGACCTTCTGGAATCTCTCCTTCGAATCTATTACTTGACAGATCTATGACTGTGAGAAGATAAGGGGTCTTTTTATATTTCAACTCAACACCTTTGCCACTTATTGTCATTGCGTAATGATACTTAAAGTATTTTCCATTGAGAACATTCGTATTTACTTCAAAATAAGTTGGCTGGTTTTCATCAACATATTTCATGGAATTCCAGATCTCTAAGTAGTTAGAGGGCAACATACCTGAGAAACCATTGTTAGATAAGTCAATGATATGCAACTTTGGGAACTCATGTTTAGTTGCAGGCTTCCCAATTACGCCATGAAATCCATTAGACCGCAAAATGAGAATCCTTAATTCTGGAAGTGCCCCTAACCAAGATGGGAAGATGTCACTCATCTGATTGTTTGCAAAATTAAGAACCTTTAACTGAGTACAATTCATCACCCCTCTTGGTAGCTTCCCCTGCAACTGATTATAACTAAAATCAACAATTCTCAGACTAGTTTTGCTTGGACATATTGGAGGAATATATCCATTAAAAAAATTGTTATGCAGGCCCAATAGTTCCAAAACACTAGAGTTACCCAAACATTTTGGAAGCATGCCACTGAGGTTGTTGTTGGACAAATCGAGAACTTGGATATAATTGAAGTTGAAGAACAGAGGTGAAATTTCTCCAGTATATTTGTTGTTTCCGACATCATACAATCTGATTGATTCCGGTGGAATTGGCAGAGGTCCTTGTAACATGTTAAACCCAAGACTCAGAGAGATCAGATATGTCCATGGGACAATGCCTTGATTTTGGTCAAATCCAGTCAAAAAGTTGTCAGAGAGATAGAGTTCCAACAAAGTTTCTCTAGTTGCATTCCAGACCCATTTCGGTATTGGGCCGTGAATATAGTTGCTAGAAAGGTCTAGACCAGTCAATTCGGATTGATTTTTCAAAAAATTTGGAAACTCTGTTAAGTTGCAGGAGCCCAGTCTTAGAATTTGAAGCTTTGGAAGAGTAGCACTTAAATCATTTCTGATCTCCACAGATAACATGTTGTACGATAATTCAAGGCCCTTCAACTTTTTGAGCTTGGAAAACTGATCAAACTCAACCAACCCACTCAAGTTATTACCGGAAAGATCAAGATATTCAAGATTTTTGAGTTGGAAGAGTGACCCAGGAATTGGTCCTTGCAAAGATGGGATTTGACCTGATATTTCATTATCGGACAAGTCTAGAAATTCAAGTTGTGTCAGGTTAGACACAAAAGATAGGAATTCTCCCTTTATGTTGGTATCTGCAAGGTTCAAGTGGTAGAGTTTGGTTAGTTTTCCAACCCAAGAAAAAGAAACAGATAGCTTGCCTTTGGAAAAGTCATGAAATGAAGACATGGAAAGGTGACTGAGTTGGGAAAGGTTTCCGATTGAAGATGGAACATTGGGATGAAAATTACACGACATGATGACAAACACATTCAAGGAATGAAGGTTTCCAAGGGAGGTAGGCAGTTGGCCAGAGAAATTCGTGTGGGCAACATTCAAATTCTTGAGGGCATTGCTCCTGTTAAAGTTAGGAAAATAACCGGTAAGGTTTGAGTTATAGAGCAGATAGAGAACCTCTAAGTTTGGTAGGTGGAAAATGCCAATTGGGAATTCTCCATTCAACCCACAACCACGAAGTTGGAGAGATGTGAGAGAAGATGCATTGACCAAGATATCAGGCACCATGGAGTACATCTCTACCCAATTAAGATGAAGTTGTTTTATGGCGGTCAAGTTTTGAACCAGGCTTCTCATGTTGGCATTGTTCAGTTTCAAACTGAAACTATCATCATCAACTTTCTGCGAATTGAAAGACATATCAAGGGTAGACAGCTTCGATAACTTTGAAATTTCTGATGGAATTTCTCCGGAAAACAAGGAATTTGAAAGGTTGAGATATGTTAGACTCGAAAGATCATCACCGAATCTTGATGGTATTTGAGAGAAATTGAAGTGATTATCTGAGAGGTCAAGCCTCTGCAAGTGAACAAGGCTGAAGAGAGTGTTGTTGGAATTGATGGAACCGTAGAGACAACTGCTACGGAGATCAAGGCCGACAACATGGCCAAAGTCTTCATCACACTCAACACCATCCCATGAACAACAATTACTCCGATTCCCATCTCCTTCTCGTGTCCAAAATGAAACCTTCGAATAAGCAAGAGGATCTGCAGAAACAGACTTGTTAATTGCAAAGCTTTCCTTGAACTGCAGCAAGGCCGAGCACTCATCAACCTGGCCAAGTGCCTGATTCTGTACAAGTAAAAAACAGTGAGTGGCATTGAGTAATAGCAAAATAAAACTACATACAGAAATAAACTTCGACCACCACGATTCCTTTCCCATCGCAGCTTTGTTTTCTGATTATGGAAATGCTTATGGCTCTTACGTAATTAAGGATCGAGAAATCCACCTCCTTTTATAGACACAGCTCATGCAAAATAATAAAGGAAAATGGGGATGCTTGATGAGCGGTTCCAAGACTTAAAGTCAAGTCGTCCGCAGGATTGATATTTATCTTGCTGGAAATATTGTTCCACAGAGTCTTTTGCATGTCAAACTATAATTATTAAAAGTAGTGACATAATCGAACATGATCGCTTTGAACATAATTTGTGAACCCAAATGTGTTGCCTGCAGCCCGCTGAGGAGGGCATTTCCCTCCTCCACTCTCTTTTATTTCCATTTTATTTTTTTAGGTTAGTGAAAAAAATATTGTAGTGACTTAGTCTGAGTCATGTCAGTTTGGCATCTTTGTTTGAAATATATCCAGTGGTGGTTCTACAAGACTTCAAGGCTACAGCCTGGCCTAAAATTTTCCAACCACAAAAAGTACATAGCTTTATCCCAACCCAAATAATAATAATAATAATAATAAAAGAAACGTTATAACTGCCCAGTTGATCTCTCCTATTCTCTACCTTTTGGCATCAACTCTCCTGCATTTGAGGATAAGGTTAATTACATCCCCCTTACTAATGTATCTTTTTATATTTATTAATAAAATTTACTTGTGCAGTTGAGTTTAGTATGTAAATTTTGCCTAATTATTTTTTAAATCATGGATCCACCACTAAGCTGAGGAGGGCATTTCCCTCCTCCACTCTTTTATTTCCATTTTATTTTTTTAGGTTAGTGAAAAAAATATTGTAGTGACTTAGTCTGAGTCATGTCAGTTTGGCATCTTTGTTTGAAATATATCCAGTGGTGGTGGTTCTACAAGACAAGGCTACAGCCTGGCCTAAAATTTTCCAACCACAAAAAGTACATAGCTTTATCCCAACCCAAATAATAATAATAATAATAATAAAAGAAACGTTATAACTGCCCAGTTGATCTCTCCTATTCTCTACCTTTTGGCATCAACTCTCCTGCATTTGAGGATAAGGTTAATTACATCCCCCTTACTAATGTATCTTTTTATATTTATTAATAAAATTTACTTGTGCAGTTGAGTTTAGTATGTAAATTTTGCCTAATTATTTTTTAAATCATGGATCCACCACTAAATCTACCTCATGTTCTACATTTTCTTCGAGGCTAAATGAGTGGTTTATTATTTGGGCATATCAATTGTTTTAGAAATTTAGTTCTTTTGGGTTATGTGAGTTTGGCTTCGGATCATGTATTTTTAAGAACTTTTCCTATTAAAAGGGGCAATAACATATTAAACTCAAACCCAAAACCTTTCTTAGAGAGAGCATTTGCTCCAAATATTGGGTACTTAATTAAGAACAACAATTCAGGAAATCAAAGAAACTAAGCAAACAGGAAACAGAAAATGTACTTTTTTGTACTCATACAGAAACATATTACAAAGTTACAAACATTGTTGTACAAATTAATACAAGCAAATTACACCACCACCCTTATTGTAATAAAACAGAATGCACCAGACCCCATACAAGAATTCTAAACAACAACAGCAGCAGCTGCAAGATAAGCATGGATTTAAAATAAGTACTTAGTTTCTGTGTCCTCTCCTCCCCCGTGTGCCTCTTGGCTGCCTCTTCCTGCTAAATTTCTCTAAAAACCATTCATGATTCTTGCTTGTCCAAAAGTTCCCAGCAACCACTCCAACTATTAGACCACTAACAACTCCTGGCAGAACCACATACCAATCTAGTGCAATTTGAAACCCGGAATCTTCATCTTCTTCAAAGATTGATGGTGGTGGCGATATTGAGCTATCACACTGCTTCGACAATGGCTTTCCACACAGACCTGAGTTTCCTTGGTATGAATCTTCTAGGAATGTACCAAATTGTTGGCCAAGTGGTATAGGACCCCAAAGATGGTTATAGGATACATTGAAATATTCAAGGAAAGTGAGTTGTGCCAAATTACCGGGGATCCTTCCTGAGAGCTGGTTTCGAGAGAGATCCAACGATTCAAGAGCCGTCAAGTTCCATAAAGATGATGGGATGACACCAGTGAGAGCGTTGTTGGAAAGGTTAAGGAAAATAAGGCCTCTTAGATTCCCAATGACACCTGCTGGAATCTCTCCTTCAAATCTGTTACTTGAGAAATCTATAAATCTAAGAAGATAAGGGGTCCTTATAAATTTCAACTCAACACCTTTTGCGAAAGTCGTGATTGAGTATGGATAAGCATAGCCATAGGTATATTTAGCTAAGTTGTCTGATGTCGAAGTGACTTGAAAATAAGGGTACCGGCTCTCGTCAACAAATTTCATGGAATTCCAGTTCTCTAAGTAGTTAGAGGGCAACACACCTGAAAAACCATTGTCAGATAAATCAATGATGCACAACTTTGGGAAGTCATGTTTAGTTGCATACTTCCCAATCATGCCATGAAATCCATTAGACCTCAAACTGAGAAACTGTAGTGCTGGAAGTGCCCCTAACCAAGATGGGAAGATGTCGCGCATATGATTGTTTCTAAGGTTAAGAAACTCTAATCGAGTGCAATTGGCCATTGATCTTGGTACTTTTCCATGTAGCTGATTGTAACTCAAATCAACCATTTTCAAACTATTTTCTACTGGACATATTTGAGGAATACTGCCATGAAATGAATTGTTCATCAGCATCAATATTTCAAGAGCACTGGAGTTCCCCAAACATTGTGGAAGCATGCCACTCAGGCTGTTGTTGGACAAATCAAGAATGTGCAAATGATTCAAGTTGCAGAACGAGGGCGAAATTTCTCCACTGTAATGATTGCTACCGACCATATAGTGTCTGATTGATTGTGGTGGAATTGGCAGTGATCCTTGTAACATATTGGTCCGGAGATCTAAAGAATATAGATTCTGCCATGGAAGATTGATTGGATTTTGGTCAAATCCTGTTAAGAAGTTGGAAGAGAGGTCGAGAGTCTCCAAAGTTTCTCTAGTTGCATTCCACACCCATTTTGGTATTCGCCCTTGAATGTTGTTGTCGCTAAGTTCTAAGTAGAGCAATTCGGATTGATATTTTAAAATTTCTGGAAACTCTGTTAAGTTGCATGACATCAACTCCAGAACTTGAAGCTGTGGAATCGTAGCACTCAAATTGGTTATGATCTGCAGAGATAACTTGTTGTATGATAAATAAAGTTCCTTTAACTTTTTGGGCTGGGAAAACTGATCAAACTCAACTTGTCCACTCAAGTTATTATAGGAAAGGTCAAGAATTTCAAGATTTTGGAGCTGGAAGAGTGACCTAGGAATTGCTTCGCTCAAATTGTTACCCGTGAGGTATAGAGTAGTTAACTGGGTCAAATTCATAAGCCAAGACGGGATTTGACCAGTTATTTCGTTAACACCCAAGTCTAGAAATGAAAGTTGCGTGAGGTTAGCCACAAAACTTGGGAATTTTCCCCTGAATTTGGTGGCCCCAAGGGACAAATGGTGGAGGTTGGTTAAACTCGCTATCCAAGACAAGGAATATTCAGAAACTAATTGGCCTGTGGAATTATTATTTGGAACGTCATAAAATATTCCACTCATGTGAAGGTAGTTGAGCTGGGTAAGGTTTCCGAGTGAAGATGGAAGATAGTGGGAAAAATTACAATAGGAGATGTCCAACAAATTTAAGGAATGGAGGTTTCCGATAGAAGCAGGCAGCATGCCAGAGAAATTTGTGAACGCAACATTCAATTTCTTCAAGAGTTTATTGCTCCTGTTAAAGTTAGGGAAATAACCGGTAAGGTTTGAGTTACCATGCACATCCAGAACCTCTAAGTTTGGTAGGTGGAAGATGCCTACTGGGAATTCCCCATTCAACCCACAATATTGAAGTTGGAGAGATGTGAGAGAAGATCCATTCAACCCACAATATTTACCTAATTATATATAAAATTAGTATGAAAAGTTATAAATAAATAAAACATATTTTCGTCATCTATTTCTTCATCATCCATATCTTCGTCATCTATTTCGTCTTCACCTATTTCTTCATCATCAATTTCTTCTTCCTCCATGTCATTACCTTCATACATGCTCAGTTGTGACATTATACGTATATATAAAAATATACGAGACTGCAAAACAATAAAAAGAAGAAAATAAAAGCTGTAAAAAAAAAATAAAATAAAAAAAAATAAAAAAAAACTAAACTGTCCATGTTTACTAAAAGCTGTCTTTCTATTTTATTTTATTTTATTTTATTTCCAGAAAAGCTGTCTTTCTCTATGTGAAAAAAAAAACTATAATATATAAGTGAAAAAAACTAAAAGCTGTTTTTCTCTTTACCAAAAAAAATTATAATCTGTATGAAGAATAATCACAAGAAACCGTCCATATGGGCTAAGAAAATCAATCTGGAAGGATAAGAATTGAGCAAGAAAATCCCATACGAAGAATTATCACAAGAAACAAATTATCAAGACCAAGAACATTAGACAGCTAAAAGGGACTGATTCAAACAAACGCTGACCATTGAAATCATTAAAGACATATCCATAGTACAACCAAAATAGTTTAATCAAATTACAATAACAATAGTTCAACCAAATTATAAACCAAATACTTCAACCAAAGTACAACCAAAACAGCACCCAAAAAAAAAAGTTCAACATAGCACAGACTATATATAAGCATGGCATATATTTGATACATAGCACAAGAAGGAAGCAATATCTTATTCACGAAGAGCTATTTATCTTCACGAAGAACTGTTCATCTTCTCTCGCAGAGAAAAAAAAAAATCTCACGTGAAAAGTCTGATGGGTTATGGTGAGATTTTTTTTAGGGTTTGGTATTTATACCTCCCACTAAAAAGTCACACAAATTCCTTCTTTAAAAAAAATCCTTCGAAATTAGCAAGTTTTTGAATACCAAAAGACTTTTTGTTACTTGTTTAAAGTCTTGATTGAATACCACTAGATTTGGACACCCTCTTTAAAAAATCATAATAGTCCTTATTGAATACCACAAGACTTGTTTAGATTATTTAAAAGTCTTAATTGAATACCACAAGACTTATTTATCCCAAAATAATCTTTTAAAATCCTAATTGAATACACCCCCCTAAGAACAACAATTCAGGAAATCAAAGAAACTAAGCAAACAGGAAACAGAAAATGTAGTTCGTAGCTAGTCGAAAACGTACACTACTTTTTTGTATTCGTACAGAAACATATTACAAACATTGTTGACCAAATTAATACAAGCAACTTACAGCACCACAAATTAAATACAAGAATTCAAAACAACAACAGCAGCAGCTGCAAGATAAAAGTACTTAGTTTCTGTGTCCTCTCCTCCCCCGTGTGCCTCTTGGCTGCCTCTTCCTGCTAAATTTCTCTAAAAACCATTCATGATTCTTGCTTATCCAAAAGTTCCCAGCAACCACTCCAACTATTAGACCACTAACAACTCCTGGCAGAACCACATACCAATCTAGTGCAATTTGAAACCCGGAATCTTCATCTTCTTCAAAGATTGATGGTGGCGGCGATATTGAGCTATCACACTTCTTCGACAATGGCTTTCCACACAGACCTGAGTTTCCTTGGTATGAATCTTCTAGGAATGTACCAAATTGTTGGCCAAGTGGTATAGGACCCCAAAGATGGTTATAGGATACATTGAAATATTCAAGGAAATTGAGTTGTGCCAAATTACCGGGGATCCTTCCTGAGAGCTGGTTTTGGGAGAGATCCAACGATTCAAGAGCCGTCAAGTTCCATAAAGATGATGGGATGAGACCAGTGAGAGCGTTGTTGGAGAGGTTAAGCAAAATAAGGCCTCTTAGATTCCCAATGACACCTGCTGGAATCTCTCCTTCAAATCTATTACTTGAGAAATCTATCAATCTTAGAAGATAAGGGGTCTTCATATATTTCAACTCAACACCTTTTGCAAAAATTGTGATCGAGTATTCATAAATATAGCCATATTTAACTGAGCTGTCTAACTTCGGAAAGACTTCAAAATAAGGTCGCTGGTTCTCGTCAACAAATTTCATGGAATTCCAGTTCTCTAAGTAGTTAGAGGGTAACATACCTGAAAAACCGTTGTTATATAAATCAATGATGCACAACTTTGGGAAGTCTTGGTTAGTTGCAGACTTCCTAATCATGCCATGAAATCGATTGGACCTCAAAATGAGAGCCCTTAATGCTGGAAGTGCTCCGAACCAAGATGGGAAGATGTCGCTTATCTGATTGTTTTCAAGATTAAGAAACTCTAATTGAGTGCAATTGGCCATTGATCTTGGTATCTTCCCCTGTAACTGATTGTAACTTAAATCAACCATTTTCAAACTATTGTCATCTGGACACATTTGTGGAATACCGCCATGAAAAGAATTGTTCGTCAGCTTCAATATCCCAAGAGCACTGGAGTTCCCCAAACATTGTGGAAGCATGCCACTCAGGCTGTTGTTGGACAAATCAAGAATCAGCAAATTATTCAAGTTGCAGAACGAGGGCGAAATTTCTCCACTGTAATTATTGCTGCCGACCATATAGTTTCTGATTGATTGTGGTGGAATTGGCAGTGATCCTTGTAACATATTGGTCCGGAGATCTAAAGAATATAGATTCTGCCATGGAAGATTGATTGGATTTTGGTCAAATCCTGTTAAGAAGTTGGAATAGAGGCCGAGAGTCAACAAAGTTTCTCTAGTTGCATTCCACACCCATTTTGGTATTCGCCCTTGAATGTTGTTGTTGCTAAGATGTAACTCTTGCAATTTGGATTGATATTTTAAAAATTCTGGAAACTCTGTTAAGTTGCATGAAGACAACCGTAGAAGTTCAAGCTGTGGAATAGTAGCACTCAAATTGGTTATGATCTGCAGAGATAACTTGTTGTATGATAATCGAAGGTCCTTTAACTTTTTGAGCTGGGAAAACTGATCAAACTCAACTTGTCCACTCAAGCTATTAGAGGAAAGGTCAAGAAATTCAAGATTTTTGAGCTGGAAGAGTGACCTAGGAATTGCTTCGCTCAAATTGTTACCCGTGAGGTATAGAGTAGTTAACTGGGTCAAATTCATAAGCCAAGATGGGATTTGACCAGTTATTTCGTTACCACCCAAGTCTATTCAAGTGGTAGAGTTTGGTTAGTTTTCCAACCCAAGAAAAAGAAACAGATAGCTTGCCTTTGGAAAAGTCATGAAATGAAGACATGGAAAGGTGACTGAGTTGGGAAAGGTTTCCGATTGAAGATGGAACATTGGGATGAAAATTACACGACATGATGACAAACACATTCAAGGAATGAAGGTTTCCAAGGGAGGTAGGCAGTTGGCCAGAGAAATTCGTGTGGGCAACATTCAAATCCTTGAGGGCATTGCTCCTGTTAAAGTTAGGAAAATAACCGGTAAGGTTTGAGTTACCATACACATCCAGAACCTCTAAGTTTGGTAGGTGGAAAATGCCAATTGGGAATTCCCCATTCAAACCACAACCGCGAAGTTGGAGAGATGTGAGAGAAGATGCATTGACCAAGATATCAGGCACAGTGGAGTACATCTCTACCCAACTAAGATGAAGTTGTTTTATGGTGGTCAAGTTCTGAACCAGCCTTCTCATGTTGGCCTTGGTCAGTTTCAGATAATTGGCAGACAAATCAAGGGTAGACAGCTTCGATAGCTTTGAAATTTCTGATGGAATTTGGCCAGAGAAAAAGGAATTTGAAAGGTTGAGATACGTTAGACTCGAAAGATCATGACCAAATCTTGATGGTATTTGAGAGAAATTGAAGTGATTATCTGAGAGGTCAAGCCTCTGCAGATGAACAAGGTGGAAGAGAGTGTTGCGGGAATTGATAGAACCGTAGAGACAGCTGCTGCTGAGGTTAA